ACAGGCTTACCGCCTAGTTGTCGCTGCTGCTACCTGCCTGTAAGATGCAACTTGCCTGCCTATTTAGAAAGTAACACACCGGCGACTTGCGATTCGTGCCTTTTTTTTTTTTTTTTCTTTTTTTTTTTTTGACTGCTCGTTACCGTCGCCTATTAATACGGCCGTGCTGACTTGGCTCTGGCTCAGCCCGCGGCGAATGCTTCCCCGGCCTGACTCAGACTGGGGGTGGCGCATCCAGACTCCATTCCATTTACACTGACCTACGAATACGTAGCGGTACTCACTCTAACTCTGTACACGGCGGTACCACCCACCTTTGTTTCCCCGGATCGTCCAAGCTGTAGTTGCAGCGGCGATGGTGGTGGTGGTTTGAGGGTGTGTGTGTGTGTGTCCCCAGCCTTGGGATGAGAACAGTCAAGTCAAATCAACCCCTTTGTCGGTGACTCAGGGCCTGGGTCATTGATTGATTGCTGACCTCACCTAATAATAGGGTACGGATAGGCAATGAAAAGCCGTTACGTTGCGCAGCGGAGGAACCTGTAAGTTTGTGTTCCTCCGCTTCCACATCCCTCGCTCTTGTTGGTCGCACAAATGAAGAAACGGCGAGATCGGATTGGGTCTCGAACGCGAGTTTGCGACGGGCGGGAGAGGAGAGGGCCCCTCCCCCGCGACTAAGCCATCTCCATCGCCGTTTGCGTCGTCAGCATTCAGCAACGACAACGGATTTGTCGCGGCCCATTTTCGAATGAGATGGCAGAGACGGCAACTCGCGATATGACTGGTCCCCGCCATCAACGGCAGAGTCTCGTCCCGAATTCGGGGTTGTGCCACACCGCAGGGCATCCCGTTTCTAGACCTGTCATTTGTAACCCTTACCTTGACTTTTGTAAAAGGGCGGCGGGAATGTATTCGCAGGCACGCAAGGGGGGGAGTGAGAGCAATCTTCAACCACCACCACCAGCTGGGCAAGCATTTCCAGATATCCGAGCAAGCATACAGCGAGCTAACACGCAGGGGAAACCCTCTTTGGCAAGAGAAAAAGAAAAAGCTGAAGGCGGTGATGGCCCGTGGACCTATCGAGACTGGCTGACAACTTAATTCCAAGACAGACAAGATAGACAGCGATCGTTCTGGACTCGGTCGCGGCAGGCAACATTCTTGGGGTTTTTCATATTCCCTGCCATCGATTGCCCTGATTTTTCTATTTCGTCCAGTGTCTGCAATGACTCTAACGTGTACTTGTGAAACAAGCTCGGCGACGACGACGACAAATGCCACCGCAGCAAGCAGTAACAGCGGCAGCACATGCTTGACGGGCGAGCGGCGGCGCTGCTGCAATCGAGCCGCATCCGGTCCGTGCGTGCCAGCTACGGGACTTACTCGACGATCAACACCAAGCGGTAGGTAGCCGAGGCGGTACGCCAATAGGTCGAAAGGAAGAAGCAAAAAAGATCAGACTGAAACGGGATTAAACCACGTATGGTTATGTTCCCCTACAAGTAGACTCTTTGGGTAGCTACAGACGGTGTGGTTGTCGACACCGACGCCACACCGAGCAAAGCACCGCAAATCGCTTCCGCCTGCCACTTCTTTTCCGCGATCCTCCATCAGGACCCTTTCACAAGCTTGCGCTCTAGATTAGAGGCTTAGGGGGAGAAGCCGAATAGGGCCCCGAAAAAGAGGAAGCCATCACAAGCGTCTCCGTCCCGCAAGGCCCGGCGTTGCATCTGTTTGCAACAAGTGCACCGAGCACCACCACGCACCGAATAGCCACTACGCATCGTCGACCTACCCAAAACCGCAACGCCGACCCCAGACCGCGCGACGACACGACGACAACGCCAAAACCACCCTTTGGCAATCTATCTATTCGGGTGGTGTCGCGATTCATGGTGGTAGCGTTCACCCCCTGGGCCAAACGCGCACCGAGCGACCGGAAGGATGCCCGCGGGGCTAGGGGGGGCCCAGGGGAGGACCGGGTTACAAGTATCAGAGAACCGGGAATTGAGATTGTCCGGCCTGGACGACCTTCTAGAAAGCCGCTAGACGGTTTTTTTTTCTTTTTCTTTTCTTCCTCAGTCTCCTTCTTCTTCCCTCCCCTACGACCGCGGAAGGGGGTGTGTGTGTGTGTGTGTGTGTGTGGATGTTTGGGTTTCCTTATCCCGGTTCATCCCCCCGTCCCCCGAAATTGGACCGGCTGCGGGTTGTGGGACCCGAAGAAGAGAGCAAAAGCGTGGTGTGCGTGGGTGGTGCAGCGCGGCAGGGGGTCTTGTTCCGGTCTAGCGGATGATTGCGCGCGCTCTCTCCCTGACGTGCTGCTGCTTTGAGCGTTTGGGTTTTTGGAGGTAATCGGTTTGCCCTAGGACTTTCCGGCTCTTGCTCGGTTGCTGCCGGATTAGTCTACCGGGTGGACGGAGGGAGAGAGGAACAACGGAAATGGTTATGCAGTGGAATGCATAACCTCCCTTCTTCCCCTTCCCCTGAGTTATGCTCCCGGAAACGGTGGCTGCGAAACGGTGGCTGCGAAACGGTCGGACGGTTTTGGGTTTGTGGGACTGCTCGCCCCAAGGCAGATACGCCATTGAAAGATATCCCATCGATCGGGAGGTTTGTAAGATGGATCTGCGTTCGGCGTTTAAGAGCCTTTGGGCCTTATTGCGGTTACACCTCATGGAGATGGAGATGGAGATGCCGCAACCGCCGCTGAAAGATGGGGATGGGCACTTAGCTGGCAAAAGCGTTGTTCATCTCTTGTTCGTCGCGTGTGGAATTTGGGAGTCTTCCATCAGCCATTCTTTTGCTTTTGGGGGCGGGGCCTAGGGAGCTTCACCGGTCTCGTCGTACGGGTGGCAGGTCGTGGGGGATCATCGGGGTGAGCTTGACTAACAGCCTGACAGAGAGCAGAGCCGCTTCTGAGTGCGGCTTACAGATGGCATGCTGAGTTCACTGCAAATGACTTGGAACGGTTGGGCTGCGGGGCGGTGCGGCCTTGCGGCCTTGCGGCGAGAGGAAGGTAACGTATCAGTGTTGTTTTACGTTGAGCTGCGGTGAGATTGAGCATTCGAAAGTACAGACATCATCACTGTTTGTGTGTAAGGTGCCATGTTGTGTCACTTGGTATTCAACACAAGCGAGACTTTTACAAGACTTTGCGGGGTTTGGCGGTCTTTTGCATGAGATCTCCTTTCCTGTGTGACGATGTTGGGTCGCATATCGTAAGGGACAAGTTTCAAGACCTCTAGATAGATGGCCTAATTAGACGCAAATACCGCTGACTTGCTTCGTTGAGGTTCATCCAAGTACTCAAGTGAACACTCAGGAGCTATTCCTCGACTTACACAAGCCTCTTCCAAAACCACTGAAGCATCTAATCGACCTATCATGTCACTCCCCCTCGAAACAGCAGAAATCATACGCCGCAACAAGACGCGCTACTGCCGATACATCGACATGAAGCAATGGCCCCCTCCTCTCCACGCTCATCCTCCCGCCGGACGCCGAGATCGAGTTCCTCGATGCCGAAGGCCGGACCTACTGCGACGAGAACGGGGTGGAGCAGAAGTGGGATTCCCTAGCCGGGTTCGTGGCGTACTTTGAAAAAGGCGTTTGAGGGGATGCAGACTTTGCATGTTATTGATCCGGGGGGGGGGGGGGGGGGACTTTGAGGTTGTTGAGGGCAACGGGGCCGGAGTGGGAATGGGAGTGGGAGGAGCAGTAAGAATGAGGCCAAGGCCGTCTTTGGGCTTGTGTATCATGTTGGTAACGCCGGATCTGAGAAGGGTGTTCAATTTGACGGGCGGTGGGCATTACTATGAGACTTGGAAGAGGGTCAAGGACGAGTATGGGGATGTGGAGTGGTTTCTTGCCAAGATGAGGTTGCACAGGTTGTTTTTTTCGAAGGGTTACAAATCTCTGAGAGGCCTCGTGGTGTTGAAGGGGATGTCTGAGTTGAGATGTTGGTGGTTGTGCTTGTGGTTAGGGTTTCAAGGTTGTCTCGGGCCGGATGCGGCTCATGTCAAGAGTATGTTATCTAGACGAGAGGTTGAAACATCAGATGCGGCCACGCCAAACATATCTTACTTGCGATATCTCGATCCATTGAGACCGAGAGGTTGAGTTCGGGGCGCGCAAGTTGCAAGCTCTGTTGACTGTCCATGTCGCGATCTCACGATCGATTGTGTGAGACAATTTGATGCTTCACGATAACTCTGTTTTGGGCATCATCGGTACTGGCGTGGGCATCGAAGATTTTGGAAAGTTGCGTTTAAGAGGCCGCGGTATCATCTGATGAGCTTTTCATACTACGCGACGGTGACTACGTTACTGATTTCGATGCTCCTAGGGAGCTACAAGCTGGTCAGATACAAGCGCGATGTCAGTTTGTCCCGACATCTACTGTTTGAAGTGAATAGACTAGCTACCATGGACCTTGCCTAATTAGCTTGCCTCGAAATATGTAGGACTACAAATAAAATAAAATAAACCCTGCTGTAATTCCTTTCACTTTGTCTTGAAAGAACCTGTGAATTCATGCTCCCACCAAGACCGCAAGTAGAATACCGTCACTGTCATACAATGCACAATCAACCAGTGAAATTCCTGCCTGGCACGTCTTGGACAAGTGCTGACGCCCCTTGTATAATCCCGGCGTGTTGATGGGTCAACTGCTGTAAGACTGCGAGGACTGCAGGAAACCCCTTGTCTTCAACGGACCCGATGCTACCGTAATTCTTCATAAGGGAATCCGAGCGTAGGAATTATCTGATATCAACTCCTATCATGGAGGCGAAGTCCAATGATCGACAGCGTCCCCGCAGAACCCCCACTTCTGCTTTGATCCTCGTGATGAGGCATAGCCTTGTACACAGAGTTGAGAGTTGACAATATACATCAGACGGAGACTGAATTCAGTTCACCTACCCATTCGTGTTCATTCTTGCTGATGAAACTGTCTCACAAATCCTATCTTGTACCTGGACCGAGAAACATCAGCTGCCAACATGCCTATATCCCAAGAAACAGCAGAGATTATCCGTCGCAAAAAGGCTCAATACTGCCGCTTCGCCGACACCTGCCAGTGGCAACACTTCGAAAACATCATGCTGCCCACTCTCACCTTTGAAGCCCTCGATCTAGACGGCAGTATCCTCACCTTAAACGGAGTCAAGTACCGTTGGGAGTCGCGCGAGGCGTGGACCGCGCACTTTAGCGAGGCCTTCAAGGTCATACAGACCATCCACCTGACCGACGCCGGGGACTTGGAGCAGGTCGCCGAGGATGAGGTCAAGGCTGTGTTTGGGTTGATTTATCATAGCGGGACGAGGGGTTCGGAGACGGGGTTGCATTCTACGGGTGCTGGGCACTATCATGAGACGTGGAGACGGGTTGATGGGGATTGGTTTATGAAGAGTTGTTCCATGAAGAGGTTGTATTCTAAGGTGATGCAGATCTAAGTTATCAGAGTTGATGGAACGCTGGACTCGGGAGCCTTGCTTTGTAGCCTCAAGGTCTTATTGTTGAGTTAGCAAAGCTGAGATTACCCGTATCGAAGTCGTAGGCGTGCCTGAGATGTTTGTTGAACGTTTTACCGTTCATCAATAGTCTGTCATGACTTGAAAAACGTTGACGAAAGAATTTTCATGTTATAACAAGTAAGACAAAAAGAATCGCAACGCTTCTTCGAAAATGTCCAGAGGACATCAAAAGCGTTAAGTTGCTCAACTGGTAGGCACAAATTGGCTTGTTAAATGTTTCAGTTGACTCTGTTACCCCCAAATCACTCAAAATACTACTGCCCCTTCAAGTTGAACGGCATGCCTCGAAGCTCACGATGAGGGTTGGGGTGCAACGGATGAAAACAAATAACGGATGTTGCCGAAAGGGAGCTTTCGGCCAGCAACAACTAGACTTTCCCCTCCAACTCCATGACATACCGTGACATAAGATACTGTAGCTCCAACTAAAGTATCAATAGCGTTGCTTCAGAAATTATCATTGAATCTAGACGGCACATCTTCCCGAGCTTGTGTCTATGCTTCTGTATGTTCAGCATCGACGCCCCTATACTCAAAGAACTTGTTCCACTCCGGGTCCTCGTTGAGCGTCTGAGCCAGTTCCTTCTCATACATGATGGCAATTCCAGGACCTTCATCCGACTCAGGCGACGGATCACGAGGTGGGTAGACAAGCACCCCACCCTCTGCTATGCGTCCCATCAAGTATCGATAAGTTGCAGGCTTCCCGAAGCCAAAGTCAGCAGAGGGTACATTGGCATCGCGATGGTCCAACACAATGGTTGGCATGGGCGGAGGCGAACCGATGCGGGAGTTGAGGCTTGAATTCGCGCGGATAATCGCCACCATCTTGAGCGTTTCATCGAGACTTTCTTGCGTTACGCTATCCGTCAACTGGCGCACATACCGCGCTACTCGCCAGAACGGCCAGACCGAGATGAGCTCCGATATCGTTGGTTGTTCCACAGGTGCGGTCGTAGACATGGCCACGTACATAACGTTTTGTTGAGTGCGAGCGGGTACCTTTGGGCTGTGTAGACGTCGACGCATGTCTATCGTCTCACACCAGAAGAGTTTTGAGTCTGGCAGAGTCTTGAACACCGGGGCTCGAAGACGTGTCATATGCCGCCACATAAAGGCGGAAAAGGCGTCGTACGTCGAGATCCATGTACCATCGTTGGGTTTGGCGAGCTCTTTCAGCTGAGCGGCTTTGCTCTTGGGCAGGTGGAATAGAAGACAGATACCGACTTTGTGATCGGGATGTCTATCGGGCGGCGGTGGTCCGTCTATCTTCTCTTCCTCCGGAGGCTCGGGCTTGAGAAAGCGGGAGACATCATTGCAGGCCGGATCCCACGAGTGGTAGGCGGTACCACGGCTAAACGCGGAACAGTTTTCGACCAGCTCGTGGATGAACCCAGCCCAAGCCATGGCATCTTGGGAGTAATGATGGTGATGAATGCTGAAGACAAGCCCGCCCCGGACGAAGTTTGCCTTGAAGCCAGCAGTGACGGGACTCCGCTCCGGAGTAGCTTCGGGCCTCTCGCCATAGGTCATCGGTAATACAGCCCAGAGTCTGAGGTCCCCGAGAGCTACGGCGCTGAAGTTGGCTTTCTCAAATGTCATCAAAGGACGGATACTTGTCGGCATCTTCTGGGGCGTCGAGCCATTGAACGACGAAGCGGACGGTTGAGCCCTTTCTCTCGGTAAAGGAGTAACCGCCCCAAGGATCTTTTTCGATCCTTCCGTTCAACTGGCGGACCTGAGCAAGCGTCCTCTCAAGACCTGCTTTCAGAACTTCGACAACTCTTGACTTGGCGGCATCGTCTAAGCAGAAGAATACGGCATAGTGGTTGTATGTCTGGCACGTCAAGTAATCTAAGGTGGAAACTCTGAATCTTTCCACCTCCAGGTCGTCCTACCCCCCCATAAGGGTGGAGATCGTAGAATTCCTCTTTTGGCATGATATTGGGCAAGAGTATCGAGATGATCCGAAAGAGAGTTGTAGGTTCCAAGTCCCGAATATCGCAAGTTCGAAGTGGACAGAGGAGTGGTTGAAGGACCATTGTCCTGTGCCGCACTAGATTGGAATGCGCATGTATCGGAAGAGACTCCTTCACCATGGCATCATCTTCAGGCCCCTTAAAACACCCTTCGGTGCTTTCCCTCTGATTGAGGGATACAACGAGCAGTATTCCCGATTTGGTGGGTTAAGTTGTGAACTAACAGTTCGCCAAGGACTCTGTCATGTTGGTCGACATCTATCCGCAAAGAACCCCATCTGAGTCACAGCTAACCTCACTCGCCTACCAACCCCCTTGATCATGCAATTTGCTTCAATCTTGGGGTTTACCAATGTCGTGTGGTCATCAATTGAGCAGGGGAGGTAGGTGGCTGCCAGTATCTGCGGGCCGAAATGCACGATGCGATCCTGATACAATATACCAACAAGATGGTGACTGTGTGCAAACATCAAACCAGGGATATCGTGCGTCAATCTCCCATCAAATGTTCAATCTCGGCCACCTGCCCCTTTGGAGAGGTTGTGGTTCTCATGAGTTACTTCTGCGCCGAGGCCGGAAATCGACATCACGATCTTCGCGGTCTCCGTTGCTTACTTGCTCATGAGGGACACGGCAACCGATGTTTGTAGACCGAACAAGGAATCGAATAGAACCAATATCCAGAATCGCCGTAGAATCGTCGTTTAGGCTCAGTTACGTGAAAAAAGGTCGAAACTTCAGATGTCGACGTTATCAAGCACTCTACTCCACAGGTAACGGATATGAACCGGCTGTCGTCTCGTTGAAGTAATATCTCCCAAATGGCACATCAGACGAAGAGTGATACGTTTTCCTGATTTCCACTTATGATATACAAGCGATCGGTTGTCTGTTCATTCCTTATCCAAGGTCTCTACCTAAATCGAGGTGAAAGTCATGGACGACGCCTTTGAGCCTAGATCGATTCTCATCGCAACAAGGCTCTGGCCTGGAACCATCACAGCGCTGGAAAGCTGACAAAGTCTTTGACACATAATATTGATACCCATATGTAGGTGCTTACGGTGTTTCGGGCTCAACCATTTCACTTAACATAACTGACTGAATGCCATGGAAACCTCTGCTTTGTGAGAGATCTGCCTCCACGAAGAAAGTTGCATGTCCCATCACATACTCTGTATCTGCCCTGGGATGAATCATGCCCATCGTCCGCTTGTTGCTAAGTATGAAAGACTGGGACCACCTTCGACCGCCTCACTGCCTGGTCAATCCATACTTCCTTCCTCCTGTTTCTTGACTTCCTCTCTTTCCGTTTCGTTCCATTTGGTCTCCCAACTTAAAACCATCCACCACGCGCGTGCGAGACTCAAAAATTCTTCACCCACAACAACAACCACGCGTCCGCCACCACAACTTGCTTGCGTAAATACCAAGAGCCCTCAACACGAGAGAACAGTGAGACTTCTTCTAATAACTCTTGTTTCATGATAGAAATATTAACAAGAGTATTCAACTCATCAAGTTTGTTCGAACGCCATAACTACATCGCCAATCAAAGGGCTTGCCATAGTACGTATTCACTGACCACTCGCTCCTTCTAGCTGCGACATAACAAGACTAATCAATATTTTAGACAGTGTCTAGCCATGGCTGATCAAAACCTTCCCGAGATGTCGCCTTCCGACGTGAACTTCATGTGTCACGTCTTCATGCACATGACCGAAAAGCCCGTCATCGATTGGGACAGCTTCGCGGAGGCCGCTGGCTTCAAGAGTGCGGGTGTCGCTCGGGCGCGTTACTCGAGACAAAAGTCCTGATGCAGTCAACATGTGCTAATACTTTGAACTTCAGACCCGCTGGGGACAGATCAAGCGCAAGTTCACCCCGGGTGACCAGGCCACCCCCAAGAAGAAGAAGACCGCCCGGGCTTCTGTCAGCACTCCCGCTTCTGATTCCAAGGTCAAGAAGCCTACTGGACGCGTTGGTGCCAAGGGAAAGAAGACTGCCAAGGACGATCAGGAAGAGGATGAGGCCGATGACGACAAGGCTATCATCAAGGCCGAGGAAGAGCCTCTCGACATCTAAGAAGACTTCTTGACTACCAACTTCGCCAAGAATGAGTGGATATTCAGAGCCACAAGCACTTGAAGATGGCTCCTAGGCATGGCCCATACAATATAATATGTCTTGGGCGCCAAAATAGTCTGGTCATAGCCCAGCTAAGAACGCAATATGATTTCGCTACAAAAACTGAGGTACGATGAGGTAGCCTCCTCGTTGTGACTTCCAGGGTATGACCACGCCCGTATGTCTCTGAGTGATGTCCGTCAATGTGTGAGCCTTGACTTTACGCCATGCCTGATACGTACTTAGGTTGAGCAAATCTGCAATACGTAGAAGTCACTATCCACCATTACCGAGCATAATCTCAACCTCTTCAAGCCTCGATACACCAATAACGAAAACTGAGGTTCATCAAACAACCTCGGAGCCGTTGCATTGAGGCTCTACGGCGTTCTCTTTCTCCCCATCAGAAACGTCAGTTTTCTTCTCCCCTCGTCTATCTTTTTTCTTTGCTCTTCGTTTTCATTGTTCTCCATCTTTCCACATTTCCCAGAACTTTCAGTATTGCCAACCTCCCTTCGGTAGCCTCACCTGTTGGGGCTTTGATTGATCTGCTCCGTCCTGAGTCGGGCGCCTGGCCTCAGGTCGTCAAGCACCCAGTCTCACAAGGCGGGTACTCTGAGTGAGGGCACCTTCTCGACCTATGGACCGGTGCCTATGGGGGTTACAACCCCTTCGACTGAAGCTGAAGCCGAAAATTTCTTTCTTCCTTCTTTTCACATCCTTCTCAAGTCACTCAAATTCAACAGACACATAGGCAACTTGCCTGTTGGTATTCCTTTCACAGGGAATTTGGTTCGAACCGTAGGGTCCTGGGGGTGACGAAGTATCAATATCTCTGTATTGATTGATTCTGCGTAAGGAGTAGAAGGGAGATTCCAACCGGAGGTTGAGTGGGTAGTCGAGGTCTGAGTGTACCCCCTCGAGGTGGCCCATGCTCTGCCCCTACTCGCGGCCGAATTGGACTTCCAATCCGACATGCCCAACTGAATATTGCTTTCTACACCGATATCTACATATCACCAGAAGCTATCGTAAGTTGCTTTCCAATGTCTCATATCAGGTTGAGACCGAAATTTTACTGACTTGAGCTAGCACCATGCCTCCCAAAAAGTCCACCGCTACCGAGGGCGAGAACGCCATCGTCTCCCTCCCTCACGGACGCCGAGACCAAGTTCGCCAAGGCCGTATTCGATAGCATGAAAACCTGTCCCGACATCGACATCGACAATGTCGCTGGAATCATGATTGGCTAATGGAAAGAGTGCTCGAGATCGCCTTCGCACAATCTCCAAGAAGCCTGCCGGTGTGAAGAAGACGTCCATCAAGAAGAAGGGCGTCGCGCGGCGCAAGAAGAAAGTTAGTGGCATACTATATTTTGCAATCTTTTCCTCATAATAATTTCTTTATTACGAACTATAACAAGTCGATAGTACAAGAAGGACGAGTCCTCGGGCTCTGATATCGATGAGGACATCTCGGGCAAGCTTGAGTCTGACACCGATGGCGAAGCTGCTGCCAAGGCGGAGCTCGGAGCTCCACAAACCCGATAGCGACTCCCACTGAGCGTTCTCGTAACAGTCGGTCTCTGCCTGTCTGTCTTTGAGTGCTTAGCCATGGGATGTGAAGCTGGCGAATTCTCTGTATATGGTCTTGGAATGGACAGGACTTGGATTGGGGTTGGGTTATAGCAGATCATGCTAGTTTGAGCAAATCAATTTCTCAATCATCTCATAAGCCGTACCTATGTTGAATTCATAAAGTACCCGTGAAACCTATTTAGCTTCCAAGTTTCGCTTTTCCAGAGCTCAAGCTACTCTTTCTGACCGCAGTCGTTGTCTTTACCTACTTAGCTTGAAGGAAAGGGTACTAAGGAGAGCCTAGTCTAACAGCTACCCCTCCGAATTCCCCCAAGGCCTGGATTCTTCTTCCCTGTTCTTCTTGTACCTCTCGCCTTGTTGTTCAGTCACTGTCTGATCTTCTTTCCGTCTAAATTGCTCTCGCCATTTGTTGTTCAAATTTCTTTGACCAACTGCCTTGTCTCTTATCACCTTTTGAACCGCATAGTCACGTTTCTTGTCTAGTTAAGTAGCTCTCGCCATGTCGTCTGGTCATTATGATTCTGTCCAGTCTTATTTTCGTCTAAAGTGCTCCTCCCATTATTGCTTAAACTCTTCAACCACCTGCCTGGTCTGCCTCATTCATTTTTTAAACCACCTGTGACTGTCTCTTGTCACCTAGATCATTCTCGCCTTATCGTCTAATCTCCAAACTGCTCCCGCCTTCAGAGTAAAGTTCCTTCAGCTAGCTAACTGATTTGTTCACCTCTTGAAATACTTGTTCCTGCATGCCTCTTGCCTCGTCGCCTGATCATTGCGCTTTCGTCTAGACTGTCTATCTTTTGTCCAGACGGCTCCCGCCATAAGGATAAAATCCCTCAAACATCTGCCTAAGCTATCCATATTTTGCATCACCTGTACCCGCCTCATATCCTGATAGCTGTCGCCAATTCGAGTTTATCAAGGGCCAAGCTTGCCTATTTGACCCAGCCTCCCACCAGAACTTCTCAACAACCCAAACCTTCCAGTACTTAGACGTCGCTTTCAGCCTTCATCTCCATATAACAACACTACTCTACTCATCATGGCTTCTGTCGGAACCGATGCTGAGGGCCAGGTGACCTTTCTGGTTCACTGCATCAAGCATTCTTCTGGTGGAAGGGTAAGTGCCAAAACAATTACTTCTATTTCGAGACGCAAAGCATCTAACAAAAACAGGTCGACTTTCGGTCTGTTGCCAATGATTGCAAAATCGCGTCCAAGGCCGCTGCGTGAGTCATTCTTCTTACCATACTCCTTCCCATCAAGTTTTCGGCATGAAGAAGCTAACCTTGCATGCCTTCCAGCGCCAAGCGGTTCGAGCGCATCCTCAAGCCTTACGGAATGAAGACCAGCGACTTGTCTAAGAATGGCCCCATCGGCAGTGCTGCTGCCTCTCCTGGTGGCGCCAGTGCCAGCCCCAAGACCCCCGGCCGGGCAACTCCTAAGGCCAAGGGCAAGCGCGCCCCCACTGAGACTCCCACCAAGGAGACCAAGCGCCTCAAGCTGGCTAACCACCCGGCTGTCTCGTCCTACAATGACGAGGACGATGCGGAGGATGTGCCTCTATTCAAGGTCAAGGAGGACCCTGAGGCTTCTGGCACCGACTCGGCCAACGGTTCGTACAACGATATTCCCCGAGGCCACGATGACGACGACTTGCAACTTCTCTACGTTGTGGAGAAAACGACGAGCGATTGCCCGATTCACGGTTACGGCGGATCTCGAAATCCTCTTTCCACGGCCGTTTCGAGCGATACTGATACCGAGGGTTCAATGCAGATCATGTCGAGACCGACAAGCATGCCAGCTTGCTATCATGGCTGGGGGTTCCTACCGGAAATGCCAGTCTACGCATGGCCGGATACTTGCGCGACACACAGGGAGCTAGAAGCAGCACAGTTAGTCGGGATATGTGAGTAGTTCTTGTGTAGTTCTTCTAAGACTTTGCTAACAAATTTCTCATAGGATCGGGGATTGACCCTCTATGGGGACGATATGGCCGTCATGTCTGACCAGATTGCTGGCTGGGATAGCTCGTACATGGAAATGATCGATGTCGATGGTCAATTAGACACTCAAAAATAGAACGAGTGAATTTCACTTCTTTCGCAACGCAATCATCATCACCACACAAGCTTTGTGAGACCCGAAAATAGTGCGCGCCGTTGAAGGGTCCGCCATGGCGCTACCTAATCGGGCAAGTGGGACTGCCTCGGCAACGGTCGGCAGGGGTCATCCCACTTCTTCCGGAGCATTTGGGGCTCAATTTTGACGACACCCTTAATTCATGTGTAAGCACAGCCTCCTCGTAACTTTCCGCGCCTTCCAAATTTGTCACAACCAATGTTTACCCTCCCGGGCCTTCTGGACTTCAGACGGTGGTGCTTCTACAGACGCGACGCGAAATCTTGCAAGTGAGCCATGGATAAAACCTCAATTAACAAGGTTAAGAGGTCCCAATCATTCCAAGCCCATGACTCCTGTCTATTTGTGTTCCGGTCACTTCATTTACCTTAACATAAGGATAAGGGACACTCATACTGCTGCCAATTGAATGTCTTGGGTACAAGATATACGTAGTAGGATGATGAGCCGTCAAGAAAACTCGAGCATTATAACTTCCAGCATCATCAGGTGGTCACAAAGGCAACGCAGACAAGCAGGCAGGCATACATGAGGCAGGTGCACCTCCTTCCTTCCTTCCCAGTCCAATTTCCAGAAACTACCTGACTCCTTCTCGGAAAAACTCAAGGTGAATGACCTCTTAGTCCAGACTTCGTGCAGCCAGCCAACCAGAGTGCTCCATCCGCACTTCACCTTCTCATCGCGCCTTCCTCCCTCCCTCACACCTGACTTCTTTCCGTCCACCAAGCAGTGTAAATTTTCCGGCTTTCCTTTGGGTGGGCCGTACACGCAAATCTGATTTCTCCCCCTCCCACAACCCACCGAAGTTGTTTTTTCTTCTTCCCTTCTTCATCGCGGCATCCGTCCCCTCTCACAGAGACGAGCGAGCATTGACCGAACCAATTTTTGTTCAGTCCATCAAACAAACAACTCGCTGTCATCCAAGAAAAATATTTATTTCTTCCCTTCTACATCTCCAGCTTCTGGAACAATTGGTATGTATCTTGTCGAGCGCGACCCCTTTCGCCTCTTTTTTTTTTCCCTCCCACCTCAGACAGACCTTCAAGTTTGGACAAATAACTGACCACCCCAGCAGACGGAGTCACTCAAATTTTCCTCCTCAGTCCATCGCGACGCAATGTCTACCTCTCCTCCTCTCTCACCTGGTGCCGAGATGGGAAATCATTGGGAGCTCTCGTCTAGAGCCTCGTCACCCCGACCCGACACCTCGAGCAACACCAACAGCTTGTTCTCGTCGCCTGATTCACCTGCCAGCACAAAGCTATCATTCGCGAGTCTTGGACCCAATGATGCTAAGGATACTGCGTCTCCGACTCGCCCAAGCATTGCAGTGATGCCTAGCTTTGCGAACCACATCCTTGTGGGAAACACAGCATACGCACCAGGTCAGATCCAGGCCATGCTTAACATTATCCAGCAAGGAAGAAGAACAGGAGAGTTTCCCAATACAGCGTCTTCAATCGAGGATGCCCAAACTATCGTCGAAGACTATCACCACCTTCAGCGCCTTCGCGACGCACGAGGCGACCCCGCCTTACCGCCGTCAGAACAGTACAACATTCTCAAGGTTGACATCGCCCGCCGCATCAAGGCTCGCGATGAAGCTCGCGGAGCCCCGGCCAACTTTCAAGAGGTGGATCACCGAGTTCAAAACTGGATGAGCTCAATCAACAAGGAAGTTCGCATGATGGAGATTACACAGGCGGCACTCCAGCGCAAGGGCATCAACAACCCTACACAAGACGACTTGGACGCCATCGCCGAAGAGTTCATGCAGATCGCGGAGCGCACTCTTCTCGATGTTGCCAACCCTCTGCGCATGAATAATACGCGTCTTGCCGGCAACATCGATCGCTTCGATAGCCAGCTCAATGGCTTGTCGTCGTTGGACGGCACGATGCGCAGCACACTCAATGCGATGCTGAATTCTCAGAGCAACAACCTCAACGGCTCTGTCAGCACACTCAATGCGATGCTGAATTCTCAGAGCAACAACCTCAACGGCTCTGTCAGCACACTCAATGCGATGCTGAATTCTCAGGCACCCTCACGCCCAGCACACCTCTGCTCCAACAACCTCAACGGCTCTGTCAGCACACTCAATGCGATGCTGAATTCTCAGAGCAACAACCTCAACGGCTCTGTCAGCACACTCAATGCGATGCTGAATTCTCAGAGCAACAACCTCAACGGCTCTGTCAGCACACTCAATGCGATGCTGAATTCTCAGAGCAACAACCTCAACGGCTCTGTCAGCACACTCAATGCGATGCTGAATTCTCAGAGCAACAACCTCAACGGCTCTGTCAGCACACTCAATGCGATGCTGAATTCTCAGAGCAACAACCTCAACGGCTCTGTCAGCACACTCAATGCGATGCTGAATTCTCAGAGCAACAACCTCAACGGCTCTGTCAGCACACTCAATGCGATGCTGAATTCTCAGAGCAACAACCTCAACGGCTCTGTCAGCACACTCAATGCGATGCTGAATTCTCAGAGCAACAACCTCAACGGCTCTGTCAGCACACTCAATGCGATGCTGAATTCTCAGAGCAACAACCTCAACGGCTCTGTCAGCACACTCAATGCGATGCTGAATTCTCAGAGCAACAACCTCAACGGCTCTGTCAGCACACTCAATGCGATGCTGAATTCTCAGAGCAACAACCTCAACGGCTCTGTCAGCACACTCAATGCGATGCTGAATTCTCAGAGCAACAACCTCAACGGCTCTGTCAGCACACTCAATGCGATGCTGAATTCTCAGAGCAACAACCTCAACGGCTCTGTCAGCACACTCAATGCGATGCTGAATTCTCAGAGCAACAACCTCAACGGCTCTGTCAGCACACTCAATGCGATGCTGAATTCTCAGAGCAACAACCTCAACGGCTCTGTCAGCACACTCAATGCGATGCTGAATTCTCAGAGCAACAACCTCAACGGCTCTGTCAGCACACTCAATGCGATGCTGAATTCTCAGAGCAACAACCTCAACGGCTCTGTCAGCACACTCAATGCGATGCTGAATTCTCAGAGCAACAACCTCAACGCCTCCGCCACTATGCTTAACACGGCCCTCAACACCGTCATCACCAATATGCCATCAATGGTTGACGCGGCGGTTCAAGCTGCAGTTAAAGAGCATCTCTCTTTCGTCTATCAACATTTCCCTACCACACAGTCCCAATTTAACTACGATCAGCCACCCGGATACGGCACAGCTACACGGGCAAAACAAATCCAAGCGGCTTGTGGCGAGGTCTTTGACGGTAACACACGAGTGGTCGCCTCTGCAGTCCAAGAGTACGGACAGCCCAGGAAGTCAAGATTCAAGGGATTCCTGCGGACCATTATTGGAAAAGGGCAATCGAAGAAGAGGCTTCAACATTCTGCTGTCCAACTTTGTGGCTAGCATTTCTCCCTCTAAGCTCTAACACGTACACAACACATCTGACCACCAAGCCTTGGCATGATGGGAGGGAGGAAATTGGGGTTTGTAGATCACTGGTAGTTAGTTCGACTCGTATGTATCACGAGATAAATAATTCGTTTCACATTGACTGTTTTGTGCCATCCTGATATCAACTTATAGCCGACTGGAGTAGCTATCCAGCGCTGCAGCTCAATGAAACAAACCAAAATCAAAAAAATGGGAGCGTATTTGATAGAATTGGATAATTAATGCTCTGATATGGAAATAGTAGGAAACCGGGAATAGTCAAAGGTGGAAACATCTTCGCGCCGCAGGCGCGAAAATTTTTTTATTTGAGGTCCACTTTAACTCCTGAGGTCCGGTGCCGCGTTCTGTCGTATAAGAATCAAGATGCCTGCCTGCCTCCCCTAACCTTCAGTCACTCTCACCGGACGTGGGGTTGGTTGGCAGCCTGCTCAAGCGTCTAGGTGATAGCGCGCCGCTTCTTGATGTTTCAAGTACAGTGAGCTGCAATAAAGTTGAGGCATGCGCACCGATGAAAAGACAAAGAAAGGAAGCTCGCATGCGGCTAACGCATTGCTCGGATGGCAGGCAGTTTTTGTGACTTGCTTAAAGTGCCAACCAATGTTTGCTGAGCTGCTACGAAGTCGAATTTCTATGAATCCGTATTAGGTCAAGTTGTTTGGTGCAGCTGGTCAGGAGAAGCCCATGTTCGAACCCATGTCAATAGATACCATGTGCGGATGCTGAGAATGGAGACAGATGCCATTGGAAGATGGTAGAAATGCACCCACAATTGCGCTATTCCTCTTTGGTACTGGCGCTCCAAAAAGGGACCTCGTTTAGCCGAAGGTCCGAGATAAATTTTTGGAGCCGGCCACGGGAAGCTTTTCCAATTCTATCACTCACTGCAACTTTTTACTTCGTCTCCTTGGAGCGACACGTGTGATTCAAACCCGGCGACACCTTTGATCCTTAGTTCTGTATTTCTTCTTACCTAGATACCCCCATAATAAGATTCAAGATGCAGCGCGCCCTTTCTTCACGCGCGAGAGCTTCTGTCCTCTCTGCTGCTCCCAGCAAGTTCCGTGCCGGTGCCGGCCTGGGACAGCAGCTTCGTTTTGCCCACAAGGTTAGTCAATATGTCGCGTAGCAATGGCAATGCCATCAGCTTCAGGATGCTAACTCAGTCTATAGGAGCTCAAGTTCGGTGTCGAGGCCCGTGCCGCCCTGCTCACTGGTGCTGATACTCTGGCCAAGGCCGTCGCGACAACACTTGGCCCCAAGGGTCGCAATGTCCTCATTGAGTCTAGCTATGGCTCCCCCAAGATCACAAAGGGTAAGGACAGATGCAATTGATACTCCTTTCATCAATAAGCTAACAGTTTTGTAGATGGTGTAACTGTCGCGAAGGCAATTACCCTCAAGGATAAGTTCGAGAACCTCGGCGCCCGTCTCATCCAGGACGTTGCGTCAAAGACCAACGAGACCGCCGGTGACGGCACCACCACCGCCACTGTCCTCGCCCGTTCCATCTTCTCCGAGACCGTCAAGAACGTCGCCGCTGGCTGCAACCCCATGGACCTGCGCCGTGGTATCCAGGCTGCCGTCGATGAGGTCGTTGCTTTCCTCCAGAAGAACAAGAGAGATATTTCCACCAGCGAGGAGGTTGCCCAGGTCGCCACTATCTCCGCCAACGGTGACCAGGAGGTCGGCAACCTGATTGCCAAGGCCATGGAGAAGGTCGGCAAGGAGGGTGTCATCACCGTCAAGGAGGGCAAGACTCTGGTCGACGAGCTCGAGGTTACCGAGGGTATGCGCTTCGACCGCGGCTTCGTCTCCCCCTACTTCATCACCGACGCCAAGTCCCAGAAGGTCGAGTTCGAGAAGCCCTTGATCCTCCTCTCCGAGAAGAAGATCTCTGCCGTCCAGGACATCATTCCCGCTCTTGAGGCCTCCACCCAGCTGAGACGTCCTCTCGTTATCATTGCCGAGGACATTGAGGGTGAGGCTCTCGCCGTCTGCATTCTCAACAAGCTCCGTGGCCAGCTTCAGGTCGCCGCCGTCAAGGCCCCCGGCTTCGGCGACAACCGCAAGTCCATCCTCGGTGACTTGGCTGTCCTCACCAACGGTACCGTCTTCAGCGAGGAGCTTGACATCAAGCTCGAGAAGGCTACCCCCGACATGCTCGGCTCCACCGGCTCCATCACCATCACCAAGGAGGACACCATCTTCCTGAACGGCGAGGGCGCCAAGGACTCTATCTCCCAGCGCTGCGAGCAGATCCGTGGTGTCATGAACGACCCCACTACCTCCGAGTACGAGAAGGAGAAGCTCCAGGAGCGTCTGGCCAAGCTCTCAGGTGGTGTCGCCGTCATCAAGGTCGGTGGCTCCTCCGAGGTTGAGGTCGGTGAGAAGAAGGACCGCTTCGTCGATGCCCTGAACGCCACCCGCGCCGCCGTTGAGGAGGGTATCCTGCCCGGTGGTGGTACCGCCCTTATCAAGGCCTCTGCCCTTGCTCTTAAGGATGTCAAGACCGCCAACTTCGACCAGCAGCTTGGTGTCACCATCGTCAAGAACGCTATTACCCGCCCTGCTCGTGCCATCGTCGAGAACGCTGGCCTTGAGGGCTCCGTTATCGTCGGCAAGCTCACCGACGAGTTCGCCAGCGAGTTCAACAAGGGCTTCGACTCCTCCAAGGGCGAGTACGTCGACATGATTGCCGCCGGTATCCTTGACCCCTTCAAGGTCGTCCGCACCGGTCTGGTTGATGCCAGCGGTGTCGCTTCCCTGCTCGGTACCACTGAGGTTGCCATTGTCGAGGCTCCCGAAGAGAAGTCGGGAGGTCCTCCTATGGGCGGCATGGGTGGTATGGGCGGAATGGGAGGCATGGGTGGTATGATGTAAAAACATGATCCATGATCAAAATGTCTTGTATTAAAAAAAGTCAACTGGGCGAGGGGCATGGGCATTGGTGTTACTATTAAAAAGGATGTATAACTGCGGCCATTTGTACTAATCTCCCCTCTTTCCCCCTTTTACGCAGCAGTATCCCTGAGGGGACTTGAGAGCTCTGTATTGTACAATAGCACTAGCAAGTTATGTAAGATGAAAGAAAGAAAGCAAAACGAGTTAAAGAACAACTAAACAAAGATCGCATGCACACATTGACTGGACTGGAGCTGTGCACGGTGTGTTGATGTTGGTCGGTAATAGCTGACAGCTCAGTGACAGCTTGAAGAATTGGGCCAGTGTGTCGGCCGCTACTTTTTAGTGGTAGAGTTCCTTGGCTTCTTCATGCTGACAAGTGAGGTAGGCAACCGTTAAGTGCAGCCCGGTCCACGTCACGTAAACAGGCACCCATTGTTGCTTTTTTGGTGATGACTTCCTGTGTTTATTTTGACCCAAGCAACAGGAGCTCGTCGCCCCTTGCAATGGGCTGTCCCCCCAACAAGAGAATCCAAGTTCAGGCCCTGTATGTTGACTGCCGCCTGGGGTGGGATTCGTCAACCTCCTGTGGCTGACGCAGAGAGTCACGTGCTCCAATCTCACCTGGACAACAACCCCACCATGCGGGTGTTTTTCTCGCCCGCTTCCCCTCCACTGCGACCCAACTCCTCTGTTCCTGTTCAAGATACCTCATCACCCGAAAGCAAGCTGTTGCCTCTTTTTCTGCCACCACCCTCCGTGCAGCAAATCTCCCGGCTGAATCACTCGATCTCGAAGTAGGCCCCATTTTCCATTCTGCTTTGCACGGCAAACATTATTAAAACATTCAATTGCCCTTCTGTTTCCTAGTTGCTAATCTGCTCTCAGCCCACTTTCCCGCCTCTTCTCCTGGCCACACCCCCGCCTTAGACCAGCATCATGGTGAGTAACTAAAAGCTTCCAAGGATCAGCCGTCTACCAAAACACCATGCTAATCTCAATCGCAGTCTCAATCCGGGTTCGTATTTCCCCCTTCCGAAGAGCCTCATACCTCTGCGCCGACGAACCATTTGATGGGCGACTCTACCGCTCGTTCGATGACGATCCCGGCGGAGCAGGACAAGCTGGCTCCATCTACTACCTCAGCAAGGCGGCGCGCATGCTAACCCGGTTCTTCCACCAGAGCGCAAGTCTCTCAGGAGTGCATAACGGCCTATAACGAGCTTAAGCTCTCCAAGAAGTACAAGTACATCATCTACAAGCTCTCGGACGACAACAAGGAGATCGTCGTCGAGGAGGCCTCGGCCGATAAGGACTATGACAACTTCCGCGAGAAGCTGATCAACGCCCAGACCAAGTCCAAGAGCGTATGTTTCTCTGCCCTCCCGCGACACAATGCAGCATTTCGAGGACAATGCTAACAATGCATCAGGGTGCTGTTGGCAAGGGCCCCCGCTACGCTGTCTACGACTTCGAGTACAGCCTGGCCTCTGGCGAGGGTGAGCGGTACGTTGCCCCGCATTCGCTCAACTTGGAACCTGCAGCTAATACCCCAACAGCAACAAGATCACCTTCCTCGCCTGGTCCCCCGATGATGCTGGTGTCATGGTCAGTACCAGGTACTCTCGCAAAGCTCAATTGAATTGTCGCTAACCTATGGCTAAAGGCCAAGATGGTTTACGCCTCCTCCAAGGAGGCGCTGAAGCGCTCGCTCACTGGTATTGCGACCGAGCTCCAGGCCAACGATGCCGACGACATCGAGTACGACTCCATTCTCAAGACCGTCAGCAAGGGCATGGCTGGTTAAATGTCTCCTTTCCATTCAAACACACCCATACCCTTCCTTACGCGGTGAGACGGAGCAATACACTTTGGCGGCTGCAGTCTTCCGGGACGATTGACGACGATCATGGAGAGTTTACGATGAATATGGAGGGCCACTTTCTCCCCCTGGCGATTTCGGGACCCAGACCTTTTTCCCACTCCAAGTTTCTTTTTGGGGCGTGACAAGTAAATTTCCAGATTTGAACTGCCCGCCTGGTTATATCAACCCAGTGCCATAGGAAAACATCTTATGCCGGAATGCAGAGCATTCTTGTTGTTGCCCAATAACGACGACAAAAATCACTTCTTCATTAGACCATTACCTATGCTCAAGTCTCGTCCATCGTGATTTCCTTTGTTATGACTTCTTCTGCGCTTGCCAGGTTGAGCGCCACAGCCCTGATAGCTCCTCCGCCTTTTGCTCGTGCTTGAGCCTTTGCAACAGGAAGCCCTTGAGATCACTCCAGAATTCGTCTGTGTCCAATGCTGCCTCTCCGATGTCCTCCTCGGTAGTGTTGAGCGCGACCGCAGCGCTAGGCTCAGGCTTGACTGCAGCAGCTCCTCCAATAACCATCACGGAGAACTCGAGAGATGCCTGGCCCTCCGTAAGCAAGTCCTTCAACACCTTGCTGTCTGGCACCGGCTTCTTGTTGAACAACAGCTTCATCTTGTCCACAGGTATCCGTGACTCCGCCTCGACGGCCGTCTTGATGTCGAGAATGGAGGTGTTGAGCGACTGGGAGGACAGCACGATGTCCAGGGGAGGGTTGCGCAGGGACTTGAGGGTGACGTTGACGCTGCGCTCCTGGCCCGGCGCAAGGTTCGAGGGCTTACTCATGGCCTTGGGCATCTTGGGCAGGATGTACTACATGTTGTTAGCTATCCATAGCTACAAACGCTTCACTAGTAGGGCTGAAGCTTACGGGAGGGCGAGCCGGGAAGTTCTTGGGATCCTCGACATGATCGGCGGACAGCTTCGCCGGGCGCGACTCCAAGGTCGCCAGGAACTGTCTCGCGAATACGACTTCGGCCATGGTTGCGATTTGCCAAGCTATGTGGCGCACTTTCGGGAAGTTTGCGAGGTCGGGGTTACTCAAGTCGTTGGTTTGAGTTCAGGAGCTATAGGTTGGGTGAGATATAGGAGAGGACTGTCGGCGAAGGCTTAATTACTAGATGATCGGCTGGAGGTAAGGCGTTGGAAATGACTTCGTCCGGTGATTCTGGTGTCTGCCCGCTTGCTCTGGTAGAGTTGACGCACTGAAGAGGGATGGGGGCGGACTGAGCTGGGGTGTGGAGCTTCGACCGCTCGTCTGGGCGGCGTGGTTTTATCTGTCAATCTTATCGGAGCTGGTCAGTGCGCGATAGAAAAAAGTTTCGGTGGGGGAACCGCTTCTAATCCAAGTGAAGGAACTTTTTTTTTCTTCTGAGCAGTGCAGCGGCGAACCAACTTTGAACCAGGCGGTACCGTACATCTCGAATTTTTTAGTTTTTCGATACCCCTTTTTCCCACCCTCGAATACCCAAGTTTCGATACGAATTGATCGACCAAAATGGGTGTCGGAAACCGTATGAAGAAGCAGGGTGCGCCCGAACCCCTGTCCGAGGCGCATTTCGCAAGATTGAAGCGCAAGGCCGGTCTGCCAGTCGAACCCGTCGAGGCCCCCGAGGTCAAGAGGAGGAGAAGAGGAGCCGCACCCAAGGCCAATGCTGCCGCGGCGAAGAAGCAGAATGCGAAGAAGACCAACGACATCAAAGCTGGAAAGCCTGCGCCCAAGGCCGCCAACGGCAGAGGAAAGAAGGCCCCCCAGCCCGTCGAGGACTCGGACGAAGAGATGTCAGACGACGACGCCGGCGACTTTGAGGGTGCCCCTTCCGACATGAGCGACGATGACGAGGTTGACGAATTCTCCGACCTCGAGGCTGCTGAGAAGCTTGGAGACGATTTCATAGATGGTTCTGACGACGATTCCGTCTACGACTCAGAAGAAGAGCGCGGCGGCGGCGGAAAGCACATGTTCTCAGAGGACGAAGACGACTCGGACGCCGAGGATATTCTCACAAAGGCCAACATTGAGGGTCTCGCACGGAAACTCGACCAGAAGCAGGCCGAGGAGGACGCCGACGCGCAGGCCGAACTCGAGGAGATGGGCATGCAGACCAACATTGACGGCGACAAGCCGCACATCCTCGACGACGACTCGGACGACGAGCTCGCCGCCAAGACCAAGACGCTCCTCGCGCCCGACCTGCAGCTCCTGAGAACGAGAATTACGGAAAACATCAGAGTGCTCGACGACTTTGCGAAGCTCCACGAGGAGGGCCGCTCCCGCACCGAGTACGTCTCCCAGCTCATCAAGGACATCTGCGCCTACTACGGCTACTCCGAGTACCTCGCCGAGAAGCTCTTCTCCCTCTTCTCCCCCCGCGAGGCATTTGCCTTCTTCGAGGCCAACGAGTCGGCCCGCCCCGTCGTCATCCGTACAAACACCCTCCGCACCCACCGCAGAGACCTCGCCCAGGCCCTCATCGGCCGCGGCGTCACCCTCGAGCCCGTCGGCAAGTGGTCCAAGGTCGGCCTCCAAATCTTCGAGAGCAACGTGCCCCTTGGTGCCACGCCCGAGTACCTGGCGGGTTACTACATCCTCCAAGCCGCCTCCTCCTTCCTGCCCGTCATGGCCCTCGAGCCGCAGGAGAACGAGCGCGTGCTGGATATGGCCGCCGCTCCCGGTGGTAAGACGACGCATATGGCCGCCATGATGAAGAACACTGGTGTCATCGTCGCCAACGATCCCAGCAAGCAGCGTGCCAAGGGTCTCATTGGTAACATCCACCGCCTCGGCGCCCGCAACGTCGTCGTCTCAAACTACGACGCCAGAGAGTTCCCCAAGCCCATGGGCGGTTTCGATCGTGTCCTGCTCGATGCACCTTGCTCCGGTACCGGTGTCATTGCAAAGGATGCCAGCGTCAAGACCAACAAGACGGAGAGGGATTTCATGCTGCTGCCGCACATGCAGAAACAGCTTATCCTCGCCGCCATTGACTCTGTCAACCATCACAGCAAGACTGGAGGTTACATTGTCTACTCTACATGTTCCGTCACAGTCGAGGAGAAGTAAGCAACACCCCATCCCCTATCAGTTCTCATTGCAGTCATACTAACAGCCTCACAGCGAGTCCGTCGTAGCATACGCCCTCTCCCGCCGCCCCAACGTCAAGCTTGTCGACACCAACCTCCCCTTCGGTCGCGAGGGCTTCACCTCCTACATGGGCAAGAAATTCGACCCCTCCCTCAAGCTCACCCGCCGCTACTACCCGCACACCTACAACGTCGACGGCTTCTTCGTCGCCAAGTTCCAAAAGATTGGCCCCACCCCCGCAAAGGCCGACAGGGACCGCTCCGCTTCCTCCATCGGCGAGGTCGTCGACAAGACCCCCATCACCACCGACGACGAGTCCAACGCCGGCGGCAAGAGCGGCGACGATTTCGGCGGCTTCGACGAGGACGAGGACGAGGAGTACGTCCTCAAGGCCAAGCGCAACGCCATGCGCAGACGCGGTCTCGACCCCAACGCCCTGTCTGCCAAGGCGAAGAAGGCTGCCTCCGCCGCCAAGAAGGAGTCTGCTGCTTCTTCTGCTTCCGAGGCTGAGGCCGAGAGCGCCGCTGAGACCGAAAAGGTCGAGAAGCCCGCGGAGAAGACGCCCGAGAAGAAGGACAAGAGCAAGCAAAAGGCCGCCGCCGCCGACAAGGAGAAGAAGGCCGAGAGGAACCCGGCCCAGAAGAAGGTGACCTCCACCGCGGCCGCGCCGGAAAAGAGCCCCAAGAGCAAGAGCCCCAAGCAAAAGAAGGAGAAGAAGTCTGCGAAATAAGAGACTAGATTTGGAGATTTGAACGAAGTGAAAGACTAAGGAAATGCTGAAAAAGGATGGAGGGATCTTTTGAGTGTATTTTGTGTAGTAGACAAAGAAGCATCTTGTCAGGGATCGAAGTCGAAACGAATCCTGTCAGGGATCGAAGTCGAAACGAATCCTGTCTATTGTCGTTGTTGTTGTTAGGGTTGTTGCATTATAATTACCTATTACTACTAAATGGAGTCGGAGCTCAAAAAAGGGTTTGGGAAATAAAAAAAAAGTATCGAACAAGAATATCGAACAGTGAATAGGGCCGTTGTCATGGTCTTCGCTGTCGCCGTCGTGATCGTCGTTTGCTGTAGCCAAATGAAAAAGAAGCCTTTCACGTCCACATCAAGAAAGATTATCCAGCCAGCTGGTCAGTCTCGAAGAGAATTCAGAAAAGAAGATCGGGTTATTGCTAATCCAATACGCCGAAGCCAAAAAAAAATTTGAGTCTAAGCAGAGCTTTTCGTCAAAGTGTCCATCATCATCAAAAGATAGATGTCACACCAGCCAGCCAATCCTTGACTGCATCAGCAGACGAAGGAAGGCTCATCCTCAACCTCCTCGACCACAAAAAGCCATCGTAAAGATAAAAAGCATTGTACAAAAGTGCAAGCATCAAAGCAATCCTTTCCTCCACTATAGTCATAAACCCTCTTATCCAGCTCGGGTCTGGATGGTATCTAGTCCCGAATCCCAAATCATCTGTTGTCATAAAGTCGGCGTGCCATTTCCTCTGCCAAACCTCTTTTCGTCGTAAAAGCCGTATGTCATGAATCCTATTCAAGACTTTTTGTAGGAGTATGTTGTACACAAAGAAGAGTCCAGAAAGTCGTCACTGGAATCGTCGTAAATGTTGTTTGTCGTAATACTTCTCCCGAAACGCCGTCGTCGTAGCTCGCCCTGTCGTTCGCCATGACGCCAGGGGTATTAAAGTAATAATGTATGAAGAAAAAAGCATAAACTGCCACCCAAAGTAGAATGCTGTTGGTGAGGTGAGGTCTACTGGGCAGCCCTCTGATGAAGCAGGATGTCGCGAATTGCCCATCTGGCAGCTTCGCGGTCACTGTCTCCCACGCCGAGCCACTTCTCGCATTTCTTTTGCCATCGGTCTTCTTCCTCGCGCTGTCTCCGGACAAATTCAGGACCGACATCGAATTCTTCCCCGACAAGCCACTCGTCCTTAACTTCGCTGACGCGGCCGGGTTCCTTGGAGTCGCCTTGGTTGTCGTCAAGATCGGGAATGTCCTTGAAAACGTCCTCGTCGTCGTCCAGAGCATTGAAGCCGTCCATAGGGTCGGGTATCTCGGACTTGGTGTTTGTCTGTGGACCGAGCTTGAGCCAGCACATATTCTGTGGGTCAAAGACCATGCCACCAACAACCTGCACGCCCTTCGTGTGGCTGATGTTCGTGATCAGAGCCGGCCGAGGTGTTGAAGAAGCTTCCTTATCTCGTACCACGTGCGGCGGCATCGATGTTGGCGACGGAGACGAGGCGGGTGGGTCGAACGCGTTCAAGACATTTTCGTTGCCTTCCCAACGGTAGGTGTCGGGGTTGTAGAACATGCCCTGAAGATCTACAGGGTTGTCAGTATATCGGTGTGCAATCCTTTGGGCTAGTGCACTTACGTTGCGGAGTCTTGTCCTTATTCATGTTGGAAATTAGATGAGGCTTCAATTGAGGAAGGTTCCTCTTCTTTTTCGACCGCACCGTCGCCTGTGGTAGTCCGGGATTGAAATTGTTCCTGGACGACAGCTGGGAAACGCGCGACGTGGTGAGAGGTGCCAGTGGGCCTGATGGAGCTCGTTGAGCAAGCGAGGTCTCCCGAGCAATTCGGCTAGCCTGGGTATCGCGGGCAAAATGGGGCGTGTAATCACCCTTCGCAGGGGAGCAAGGTGCCGGGGAGGGCGTGGTGGTCCGATCAGGAAGCACATTTTGGTAGAGCTTGTTGCGGAGCGGTGCCTTGACAGGTTGTCGGACAAATTTCGCCTCTGAATGAGCCGAAGTAGGCAAGTCGTCAAATCCATCCAACTCATGCCCGTCACCAAAGTTCCGGGTTCGGTTTGGCTTGGTAAGTGTACGGAACGACAAACCGTCGCGGGTGATGTGGTCCGAATGGCGGTTTGTTCTCTTCGGACT